GTTAAAAAGGCTTAAAGAGCACACAGGGACTGTACTTGCCTGTTGGTAACTTTTTATATTATTTTTGTTGTTGTTTATTGTTAAACAGCATATTCTGAATAATTCACCCGTTTGTAGCCACATTTCTACTGAACTTCTCATGGTGTGCAAATCAAATTGAAATTGCCCGAAATTCGCAGCTCGTTTCATCAACACAATTGCCAATCATTCAGCACACACACAAAAAAAATATATATACTCTATATTCGAATACGCAAAATTTCATTTCCGTTTGTCCGGCACATCCGGCTGCAAGTGAAAACTGTGAAAAAGGTTGCAAAATGCATAGCCATGCCATGCATACTGAGAGCGCCAGAGATAAAAATAGAGGGAGAGATAGTGATACTGATATAGAGGGACAGGGAGAGATAGATAGAGAGAGAGGGAGAGAGAGAGGGGAAGAAAATTTGAACCATCAATAGCACCACTAACTTTCACTTCTTCCCAGTCTAATCGACACATTTTCGGTTGCATTTAAAAGCCACTTGCCCTCGACTGACACAGTGCCACGCCCACCCCGCTCCCTACCCGCCCCACGCGCGGCGTTGATGAGCAATCCCTCCATGCATTTCAAGGTCAATACAAAATGGCGTCGCTGCGCAAATACAAAGTGCACAATGTAGTGCATATTGGCATTACCATTGAAGTGCGCCCACCCTACTCCTACCTCACCTCACCTAACCCTCCCACAAACCTATTGCATTCTATGCTGCGTCCGTTGCCAACAGCTCATCAACACTTTTCCGAAATTTACACAACACTACAAAAAAAAGTAGTTAAACGCTTTTAGCGATTTGCAAAACTTTTGCGCACTTGTTTTGTGTGTTGTACAAAAAATTGCAATACAAAAAATCGACAATAGAAATTTTATGAACTTTTGGCATAGAGAAACGTTAATGCTCTAATTTTGATATTTATTGAAAATAATTAAATAATATATGTACACAATGAAAATCATAACAAATTTAAATAAATCAATGAAATTAATAGATATGTAAAGTTATCAATTATTTAAAATTAATAAAAATAATAAACAATAAATAAATAAAAGCATGAACAAAATCAAATAAGAAAGTTATAAAATTATTAATTTTATAAAAATATTAAATTAATAAAAATAAAAAAAAGAGTAATTTAAAAAAATATATTAAATATACAAAAAAAAAATTATTTAAAATTTTATTTGTATATATTTAAATGTTTGAAAACAAATTAAAAACCCATTTTGATATTCCGCACGAAAAGAGAATATGATTCAATAAATATGCTTTGTAAAATACATATTAAAAATTTCCTATATTTGCTGCTGGCGATTACAGTTATTTAAAGTTTGTTACAAAGTTGATGGCAAAGTTGATATACTCTTGCTATATTCACAACAAACTAAAGCCCCAATTTCGCCAATGCGAATATCTCGTGCTTTTTTTCTAGTTTTGTGTAATGTCATTTGTTGTTGTTGTTTTTCTTGTAATTGTTGTTGCTGCTGCTTTTTGCAAGACTTTTTGATTGGAAAACTTGTGCATGGGAGTGAGTTGTATGCTTTTTCGGTTTTTTTTTTTTTTTTTTTTTTTTTGGTTAACCCAGCTAAAGCGCTTGTGTTACCTAGCTAATTAAAATGCTGAGGGTTAAAGTTCACGGGCGTGTGAAAATTGACAGTTTCCATGGGTTAATAAATTGACGCAATATGGTTAAGTAGTGGATGTTGTGTGTGTGTGTGACATCTCTCTATTGCCAACGGGCTTTATTGGCATTACACAGACACACACTTACACACACTGCATGCCAATCTAAATTCGTGGCATTTGTATCTAATGGATATCCAATTTAATTTCTAGGCTATTTCCAAGTTGTTGTCGCAGTTTTGTTTGCCATTTGATATCCTTGACTGGGCTTCGAGTTGCGCTTTACTCTAAAATTGTATCCTTGTATCATTAATTAAGATGCACACATACACCCAGGCACACGCACACAGCCACACACTCTCTGAGAGTGTGGGGTAAACCAATGTCAAGGCAGGTTGCGTTTTATCTATGAAAAGTCAGTCGAGATGTTTGTTTCTTCTGCTGCCCCACGCTCAGACAAACTTGTGTGTGTGTGTGTTTATGTGTTTATATGGCACACACACACATTACTTTGGTCGCATTAATTTTGCAATCAAAATGTCTTACGGTAGCTCTACAGCCCAAAATTTAGTGGGTGTACGCAAGTATGTGTGTGTGTACCTGTGCGTGTGAGTGCTTGTGTTTTCTTCTAACCCACTTAATTTAATTTAATCAGCTTAGTAATTAGTTAGCTCGTTGTTCCTGCTGCTGCGGCGGCGGCGGCGGCTGCTTGTGCAGCAGTTGATAAACATTTTTGGCATTAGCTCCCGCCGGGCCTTGTAAATATTTAATGCACTTCTCTGTGTTTTTGCTGTGCAACTAATTTGCGTTAACTTTGCAAAACCCTCAACGTGACTTGTGAATGTAAACTCTGAGGATATTGTTTCATAACACTTGACGACAAAATGCCTTTGAGCCAGACCCATAAAATTGCAAATATTTAAAGTGTGGACATTGATTGAAAGTCGCAAAAGAGTTGATGTTGTTGTATGCGGTATAGTTAGAGTTAGTTTTATAATTTGAATTGAATAAAAGTTTTATTCAATTTCTATGCTCCAACTCAATTGAAAGTGTGTAAATAATAAATGGATAACTTGTCCCATTCTCATGTAATCGGAAAACATCCATATTGAAATCTTGTTTTTTGAGCATATCTCGAAGCTTCTAAAGAGATACAGACACCAAATTTGGCATGCAAGCTCTCGTATATATATATAGTATATAGTATATATATATATATATATATATATATATATATATATATATATATATATATATATATATATATATATATATATATAGTATATAGATTAGATTTTTCTTGCCACAATAACTTATTTGACCTAGCCTTGTACTTTGGTATTTACAAACATTTTGTTGTCATATGTTAACCCCGAAAGACTCAAAAGGATCGGACAGTAAACACCGAAGTTACTCAGGAACAAGTTCTTTATAAGTAGTACGCGGCAAAGGGAAGAAGAAGCACAGTCTCATGCTGGTGTGCGTGAGTGTATGTGTGCTCTTGTGTATGTAGACATGGTAGAAATAGATAAAAAAAGAGTTATATTTTATAGTATCTTCTTATATTTCACACCATTTTGTTTTCTAAGTGTAGGATACAGAACTTTTGTTCTTATATTTAGATAGCAAAATGTCAAAGAAGTTAATCTCAGTCGGTAAATTGATATTATGTAAGAATTATAATAAAATCAATCCTCGTAATATAATATTCAACTGCCATTTAAAATTCAAATATACGCATTAACTTGTCCGGCTGTCTTATTTCTCATTGTATATGTAAATAATGGTATTAAAATTGTTAAGGCATTATTCAGTTCGATAATTATGAGATTTCATTTGTCGTTTGAGTAAACAACAAAATGTAAATCGCAACCGCCTCAATTAGATGATAGCTAAATATAAACCTCAATAACTTATACGTATTGCTAATGTTTGTTATTTTCAAATGGCATTTAGCTATTAAGTACACAATATTTGAATACAATTTGTGACCTTCGCAGAAACAGAAAGAAAATGCCAAAATGGTTAACGAAATCAATAAATTGATGCCCAAAAGGAATACAAGGCAATCAATGCAAAGAGACAAACAGATGCGGTCCCAAAGATTGTAAAGAACGAAACCGAGAAGTAAGGCTAGTTGCGGCACGCCGAAGATTGAATACCCTTATTAAGACAATAGTAAAGCTCGTAAATGCTTAGTTTGATGAAAATATCTTGCAAAACAACTTGATGATATCGTTCTCCGATGGTGATAAGGTTTTGCATATATGTGGAGAGCATCATATAAGTAACAAGTGCGAGTTAGGTCAAGATATCTTGAGGAAATAGAAAGTTTTTCATACAAGAACCTACTTTACGTCCGATAGTGCCTGTGGCAGCTATATGATATAATGGTCTGATCCGGCGGGTTCCGACAACACGAAAGTCTGTTGATGCTGATCTAGAATATGTATACATTATGGTTTCGGAAATGTCTCCTTCCATGCCCTTACACATATCATCACAAAATTATAGTACCCTCTACAAGAGTATAAAAAACAATGCCAGCAGGCCAATAGGCAAAAAATTGAGCTGTCTAAATGTGGGCGGAGTTTTCAAGTTTTTTTTCTCCGGTTTTTATTTTGTTCAGCGCATAGCTGACAATCGAGTTGGCTGGAACTCAACATAGGAAATATTAGATGAAAGATAACCCAAGCACTAAGAGACTTGGGGGCATTGGACATGCATGTATGTAAGCTCGTGACAGGTTCTATGCAACCCATTGACCCTAATATTGGGTGTATACATGTGTGTGTGTGTTTGGACTGCGTGAAATTTATTTAACTGGCAGTTAAGTTGTTGCCGAGTGCTGACAGTTGAACGAATTGTTGTTAATCGTTCAAAGTCACAGAATGTCAGCAGGAGGCATCATTAAATTAAGTAGTCTTAGCTTGGTTTTTTATTGCCTAGCTTAAAGCACTTTGCCAGTTGCGAGGCACTAAAAATATGGAATTTCAAAGAGAACTACACCTAAAAGTCTGTTAAACTAAGCGAACATTAAATGCTGAGCCTAGTTTAGTATAAATAAGGTGGATCTAGGGCTACTTTAGGGAAAAGAATATAAGTAAAGATTTAGAAGAAAATCGATAAAAGATATATTAATTTAATAGCTGTTAATTATGTTGTGGCACATGAAATCAAGAACAAGAACGATGTAAATTAAAAAAATATACTATATTCTCCTAAGCAAATCCTTCCCTTTGTAATCCAAGTTTTCCCCATCCTGTTTTGCTTTGGACTAAAAAAAAATTAAATATTTGTTCCTTCTCTAATTCAAATATCTATCTTTTATCTTTTCAGCATAAAATATATAAATTCTATCCACAATTGCTAAGCATTATTTGTTGAGGTAAGCTGATGAAATCAAATACATTTTGTAATCCTTTAACAAATGACAATTCAATTGCGTTTTATTTCTGTTTCGTTAATTTGTGCAGCATAAATGTGTTACCCACAAGCCTTTCACCCTTGGCAACACTATTAAATAATTTTCAACATTTTCAATTTGATTTTTTCTTTAACCCTTTCTCTTGCCCGAGGGACGACACATGATTCCACGCCTAGCGTGAAGGGCGAAGCAGCACATTTGTTGACTGCAATTCGCATTGCTCTATAAATTTGAATGAATTCATTTGTTTGTGAAACGTGTGCGAACAGACGCTTGAAAAACAGCAACAGAATAACAACAGCAACAACAACAACGACAATAGAAACAACAAAATAACATAAGCAGCATGTGCGGTTCGCCATTTAGCAATCCAACCCAATGGACGTTGTTGTTGTTGACACAATTGAGCATCATATTTATTATGCCAACGGGTTTTCAGTCTCTCTTTCGTTTTTTTTTTTATACCCTGAACCCATTAAAAATGGGTATAAGGGTATATTGTATTTGTGCAAAATCCAAATGTACATATGTAACAGGCAGAAGGAAGCATCTCCGACCCCATAAAGTATATATATTCTTGATCAGCATCAATAGCCAAGTCCATCTAGCCATGTCCGTCCGTCCGTCCGTATGTATGAACGCAAGGATCTCAGAACCTATAAGAGCTAGAGACTTATTTTAAATAATTCTAAATTTTAGATGTAGATGCTCCTAGTTCCCGCGCAGATCGAGTTTGTTTCCGATAATCGATAACTTACCCCGTTTCCAAGCAATCGATAAAAATCTATATCGATATCCTGTTTTTTGGGCAATGTTGGTAAATAATAAGAGCTAGAGTCACCAAACTTGACATATAGCTTCTAAAATAGAATGTGTATATGCATTTGATGTTGAAAGAAGCGGGTTCAGGGTATCCCCTAGTCGGGAGCTCCCGACTGAACCTCTTGCTTGTTTTTTATAGCTTTTCTGACTAGGGCATTGTGGCTTTGTCGTCTAGTTGATACTCGACTGTATGTTATACAGCGGGCAGTCAGTAATTATGATTCGCAGGAGCTTTAATTGTAGATTACTTAAGTCTAGAAATTTTTATTTGTAGGAATTTTTTATATACTTTTAGTATATTCTCATGTTAACACCTTTATCTCTCTCTATCGCCCAATCTCTATCTATAGCTCACTCCCACTCTTTCTCTCTCTCTCTTTTCCATTCTCTCTGCCCCACTTTCTCTCACTCTCTCTCTCTCCCACTCTCTCACTCATTTTTTTCTCTCTCTCTGTCTCTCACTATCCCTTTCCCTCTCGCTCTCTTCCGCAGTCTCTCTTGCTTTTCCAATTTTCTTTTAGCTCATATCCTTAAGCGTTTTACGTGCGGCGCTTACGTTTAAAATAACAGCGAAACGTTAACCCGGAATTGATTGCCGTTATAAAGTATCATTAGCTCAACCTTCTTTAAGTTATTCGTGCCTCATTTATTCCTATACGTAAACGTTTTACTGTCTGCTTTGATGCTTTGCTAAAAGTGTCACCGTCATTTTCTTAACAAATGTCTGAAAGCATTGTATGCTTTTTATGTGCGTTCCACTGTCGGGGTTTCTCACTTGAATGTGAAAAAGTCCAATCCAATACTCATATTATTATGAATCTTATCTGAATATTTTGTGGACAGAGTATTCGCACTTTGCTGCAACATAGACTAACGTATTTATTCGTCTTTTTTCTTGCGCTAGTCAAAAAATGTTCATTGTTCGCATTTATTTACGTGAAATTGTTGCTATGTTTTGCATAGCTTGTCGCTGCTGCCAGGCCAACAAAAAAATAAACACTTTCAACATATTGGTTGAACATATTCTAAATTTCTTGTGTTCCTGTCTCTCTCTCTCTCTCTCTATCTCTGTTTTTGCTTTGTTGTGTTTCATTTCATTTGGGTGCTGGGTTGGAATTTGGCGCACAGAAAATATTTCATTATCAGCTTTTGCTCAGTGCACAGTATTTTTACAGCAAATTTATAGCGAACATGTACAACATGACCTCTCAACTGAAAGCCATTAGAAACACGCACATATCCTTTTCAAGCACACACACATACACTCGTGCACACACAAACGTACAGAGGACACACGCACACCTGTGCACGGACACAAAAATGTGGGCTGTGCAAAAGCAATTTTCCAATTTTCCTGAGCACAACATAACGCAAGCATATCAGTCGATTTTCTTCTTGGCATTTTCTTTCTCTCTCTCTTTTTGCGCTGCTTATTCTTCCACCTATTTGGCTCTGACAATGGCTCGACGTTATAAGCACCTTAGAAATCAGTTGGATAGAAAAGAAACAAGTAAACATGTTGACATTTTGGACGCTAGTCGACTAGCAAATGCCCTGCACCAAGGAATACCTAAAATGAGCCATTAAAAAGGGAAACGAAAAAAAATTAAATTTATATATTTATATATATATATAAAAACAAAATTAAAACTAAAATTAAAATAAAGAAAAAATAATAATAATAAAATAAAAAGTATATTACAAAAAAATTAATTGAAAAAATAATCAAATAAAAAATAGAAAAAAAAAAACAAATAATAAAAAAATATAATACAAAAATAAAATAAAATATATTAAATAAATAATAAAGAGAAATAGAAAAATTTGTTTAATTAAATTAGAGATAGAATTTCTTATACATTTAAGAGGCAACATAAATGGGTTAGCCTGGCATAATGAAGCAACAATTTTTACTTACATGTTAACTTAGTCAATCGCCAATTTAATCAATTCTTAATGCTTGTAAGCATTTCGCACTAATCCAACCCCCAAATGACGTTCATATAGGGTATTAAAAATTTACATGAAACCAATTTGCAATGTTGCGGCATTTTCATTTCAATTGACCTTCAGAGCCAAGCCAAGCTGGTTTTTTTTTCTTGCTCGACTTATCTACTTATGGCGAAAACACAGTCACAGTATAAACGAGTGAAAAACAAATGCGATTTTCTTTTTGTTATTCTATGTAGAGTGGCTGTTGCAAAAACTCTTAGACTTGTGCCAAGGAGTGCCCTAAGTCAAATGCTTCAATAATAAATGCATGATTTATGCATCTAACAATCTCTATTAATCTTTCGTAGTTAAAAATACAGTTGACGTGTTTATTACATTTGGAGCTCTATTAAATTGCATATCTCTGTCAGTTTTCAAGCTTACGCAGATTATATATTTTTTGGCTTGATTCGTTTGCCAATCAAGTGCCTATGATGTAAGCGTAAAATGAGAGAGAGTCAAATGAATGCAAAAAATAATGAATACATTTCTATATGACTAAGCTGAAGAATGACAACACACTGATTTCAATTAAAAATGAAATGATAATAATTTATTTATAAATGAAATGTTTAATATGCTATTTTGAGTGGATACCATATTAAAATAGGTAGAGTTATCTCGTATATTAGAATAATATTAATAAAACCAGTTTTCGTTCAAATAATATGTAAAGAAATTTAAATCTAATTTCAACAATTCATAAATAATTTATTGCGTTCACTCGATTCTTAAATCTAGAATATGCATTTAAGAAGACATGAAAGCTTTAAACGAGATTTAACTTGAATAGAATAGAAGAAAATTTTAAGAAAGCACATTGAAACAACTGAAAACTTTCATATTTTTAATAAGGCATACTGAAAGCTTAAAGCTCTAGCCCAATAGCTACAGCTTTTGATACAATAAGAGTCTTGAAAGAGCTGAAAGCTTTGCTCTCCATAATCAAACTCACTTAAAGATTAAAGCTCTACAAACCGTTTGCTGATAATACAACAAGAGGAGTGGAATCACATGAAAGCAACTTACATCGAAATACTCTTAAAGCTGTATGCTATAGCACATTAGTTACTTTTCGATTGATAAAACAAGAGGCGTGCAAGCATAGAAGCAACTGAAAGCTTTGTTATTTAAAATTAATCACACTTAAAGCTCAAATGCAGTTACAGTTTGTCGATATACGCCTCTCACTTGATTGACTTTAAATGACATGTTATTATTCTCTTCTCGTATATCAAAGCTATAGCCAATACCTGTGTTTAAAATGTGCACGGTCCACAAGTAAAAACTATTTTTTCGCTCATTTATCTAAAATTGTAAAGCTGCAGATAACCATAGTAACTCTATTCTATAAATTAATGGCCCCAAACTGCAAGCGGGTAATTTTACAATTGCAAAGCACAAATAGACGCAACACTCGACAATCAAAGTGGTTTTTCCGCTTGGCAATGGCAGACAAAGTCAACTGCAGATGGATAGGATAGTGCCACGGAGGTGGCAGGGTATGGGGAAAGGCAACAACAAACTGCCGTCAAACTGTCGAAAAAAAAAACAAAAAGCTGAAGAAAAAGAAAAACTTGACTAGTCGCCATCGTCATCCTCAATGCCTTTGGTTCGTGCTGTTATAGAAAGCAGAAAGTCCGTGGCATGTTTTGCCGTTGTTGGCCTCAAAAGTTGAAGCAACAAGAACAGCAGCAATAACAACAATAACAACAGCAACAACAACAACAACAACAACAACAGCAGCAACAGCAACAACAACAACAGCAACAACAACAACAGCAACAACTAGCCAGAAAGAAACCATTTGGAAAATATAATCAAATTTCTGCCTCTCACTCACTCAGAAGTAGTTTGCCAACGCTCCATGGGCTGTGCTCTTCATGCAGATTATTACGTATTCCATGCATATTTGTAACGTTAACTGGCATTTTGATTTTTGTTGTACCCTATAAATATAGAAGCAAATGAGTAACAGGGTAACACATAGTGTGTAAGATTAAAGACAAGTAGCTAGTTGATTATTAATGTGATATAAATGAGCTGTTTCTCTGTGGGGCTTTTTTAATAATCTTCCCGTCCATTATTAGCAGACTTTGTAGTCTACTCTAGTATGGCAAAGCTTTAACTTGTTGCGAATTACAAGC